CCATAATTCAAAGTGAGAAGAAATTGCTGCAAACATCAGTAGGGTGAATAATCAAAACATGAAGTATGAACCTAGGAAAATTGGAAGTTGTCAAAAACAAAACAGAATGCATAAAGACTGATGTCCTAGGCATTAATGAGCTGTAATGGATTGGTACTTGCCAGTTTGAATCAGACAATCATACAGTCTACCATGCAGGAATGAAAAACTGGACAGGAATAGTGTTAACATTCATTGTCAAAAAGAAATTTCAAAATCTAATTTGAAGTACAAAGGTGTGTGTGATAGGATAACATCCATACTCCTGCAAAGAGTACTAGTTACTAGCACTACTATTTGAATTTACACACCAACCACTAAAGCCAAAGATGAAGAAATTAAAGAATTCCACCAACTTCTTCTGGCTGACATTGATGAGACATGTAATCGAGATGCACTGATAATTACTGGTGACTAGAATGTCAACACTGGAAACAAAGAGGTAGGAGAAACAGTTGGAATATATGACCTTGGCGATAACAAAACATGGCTGGAGATCATATGATAAAACTTTGCAAAAGCAATGACCGGGAATGTAGAACCCCCACTGAATAGTTTTCATCTTGTCTAGACAGGCCTGTTGAAAGGAGGAGGGAGTAAGATTCTTACGATTCAACAGTGAGTAACTGTTACCATGACTAATGGAGACTGTCACAACTGGAAAGGTGAAAGTTTTGTAATAAAACTTACACCGTTTGTTACAGTTCAGGAATAGAGAACCCTAGGGCCATCAAGGGAGAAGAGTACGAGTGGAATGTGGGATCCTATCCAGAGAAGGAGTGATAACAAAGATGGAGACAGATGAGGGCATGGAGAAATAGAGCAGCTGAGGACTCTAGACTCATGGAAAGAGAAAGGCTGTGTGCTGAAAGCCAGATGCTGGTAGACAGGAGGAAGGCTTGCAGAGTATGTCCTTTGGTTGTTTCAATGATTATATATTCCTGAGTGGTTTTGTGTACATCCCCCTCCCCCCCACAAAAAACAGAGGGAATAGAAACAAATACTGTTGAATGATGATGCACAGGGAGATTGTAATCATTGCAATGAAGCAATGAATGTAAAACTGATGTTCTCCCATGTAAACTATCACTCAATTCACAATAAAAACTTAAAAATAAAACAAAACTATTGTTGCAGACCGTGTAAGACTAATCAGAGGTTCGAGGCCCGCTAGGGCCGAGTGTAACAAATGAGGCCACTGGCAGTTAATGGCAAATTGCTTTCATATTAATATTCAGGTATATATATTAAATTAATACACTGGAGCCTTTGACAATCCACAGATAAATGTG